CAATACAATTTTTTTATAAATTAAAAAAATACTCAAAATATGCAAAAAATAATGCATTTAAATTAAATAATATAAAAAATCTAGAAACTCTCAGATATCTATAGGAAAAACTTTTTAGCAACTGAAATTTAGTAAATCAAATAATGCAAACACACACACATACACACATACACACACTCATACACAAACATTAATTTGTACAAAAAAGTTGGCTAAACAAAGACACCCCTCAATAATTCAAATTAAATATGCAAATCAACAAATTATAAAGCACAAACAGAGCGAGAAAGAGAGAGAGAGAGAGAGAGAGAGAGAGGGAGAGTACAAAGTTTAGAGAAATCCTAAATAAATGAGCTAATGGCAAACAATTTTTAAAGTTTCCTTTGCAGTTGGCAAAAGCAAATAAAAACCAAATGATAAAAATAAGAAAACAAAAAATTAAGAGCACACACACACACAGAGATTGGACAAATATTTACCACAAATGTACAAAAATTCAGGCAGGCAATGAAAATTGTTGGCCAAGCATTTATTTTCACAGCCAAATTAAGTTTTCCTTTTTTTCCATTTCCATTTGTTTTTTTCTCTTTTGTCCCCTTTGGGAATGAAGCACGTTTAATTGTGCGTGCACAATTTGCACACACACACACACGGAGTCAATTTAGTGTAAAATTTAAAATGATTCTCTCTCCTTTTTTTTTAGTGCCAGCAAAAACCTGGCGAAGGACTCAGGATACAGCAGCCCAATGAGAAACTTAAAACATGTGTTTTGCCAACTCCAGAAATGAGTTGCAGAATTGTGCATATGACACAATAAAGTTGCGTAATTCATAACCCGAAAGCAAAGAAAGAAAAAAACTTTAGCAGAGCACAACAACAACGAAACAAAATCTTTCAAAAAAAGCAAAACAGAAGCAGAATGAAATGAAAAAGAAAATGAACTTGCGAAAAAAAACAAAAACAACAAAAAAATGAAAACAAGACAAAAGGCAGCCCACGAAAACAAATGAGAAATGTTCAATGCGAGCGAACGAATAGAAGGCAGAAGGCACGTGGCTATGCGCTGTGGGCTGTGCATGACGGCACGATGCTCGCTCAGGCAGATGCCGAAAAGCTGAAGCGAGCTTTGGACATAATAAATTTGCCATTCGAGTGGAATTCGGCTAGACTTATGGAATGTTTAAGACTGGAATTACTTTTTTTTTATTTATTTTATTTTTTATGTATTTTTATATAAATGTTATGTATATTATATTTTATATATTATTTGTTATTATTTTTTGTTGCTTTATATTTAATTTATTTAAATTTACTTTTTATTTTTTTTTATAATATTTTTTTTATAAATTTTTTTTTTATAATATTTTTTTATAATATTTTTTTATGATATTTTTTTTATAATATTTTTTTTATAATATTTTTTTTATAATATTTTTTTATAATATTTTTTTTTATAATATTATTTTATTTAATATTATTTTATTTGATTCTTTTTTATGGTATTAAATATATATTCTTTTAATTTTATGTTGTTAAATTTTTAGTTTTTTTAGTTTTAAATTTGTTACAACTTGTTTTATTTATTAATATTATAAATTATTTTATTTATCTTAATATTATTTTTAATTTTATTTATTATTGACTATTTATTTTATTTATTTATTTATTTTTTAATTTTATTTATTTATTTTATTTATTTATTTATTTTATTAATTTATTTTATTTTATTTTATTTTATTCATTTTTTATTTTATTTATTCTTTTTTATTTATATATTTTATTTATTTTTTTTATTTATTTATTTTATTTA